TGGGCGCAGGTGCGGGGAAGCCGGGCAGCCCCCCCTCCCTGGGCGCAGGTGCGGGGAAGCAGACCCCCCCTCCCTGGGCGCAGGTGCGGGGAAGCAGCCCCCCCTCCCTGGGCGCAGGTGCGGGGAAGCAGCCCCCCCTCCCTGGGCGCAGGCGCGGGGAAGCCGTCCTGGACTTACCTGTCAGGCGACCCCCTCTTGCCATTCTCGTTAACATCCAGCAGAAGCTCAGAGGAGTCCACGGGCGAGGCGGCGCTGGCGTCCAGCAGGAGCTGCTCGTGCTGGGCCAGGTACTGGGCGGGTGTCTGCTTGGCCAGGCGAGCGCAGTGCAGGAGCTCTCGCTGGAGCAGGGGCAGGTTGGCCTGCGGGGGGAAGGGGTTGGGGCAGTGCTGGCTGGGCCGGTCCGGTCTGGGCCTCACGGCCCGCGGTGGTCTGTTGCTTCTGGCCGTGGCACGGGTGGGAAGAGAGCAGGGCAGGCTAGGCTCTGCCCGGCGTGGCGATTCTCGGTACATGGGACTCCCGTGTCGCTGCCTTCCGCAGGGCGCAGGGTGACCCTGACCTCGGCTCCCTGCTCCCGCCCTGTCCAGCGCGGCCAGCCGCCGGCCTGGCAGCATGTGGGTCTGATGTGAGAATACGGCTTCTGGCCCGGAGGGTGTGGACCGAGCTGCTATGGCTCCCTGAGTGCTCTCCAAGGGGCCCAACACCACCCACGCATGAACTTATCTGTCTGTCTCACAGCTTTTCACTGCCTGGCTGTCCGGCCACGTCTGTCTATCCACAGACTGCCTGACTTGTGTCTCGCTGTTCCAGCCGTGCTGTCCCCTGCTCTCCCTCCTTCCCAAGGAGAGCCGTTGTTCCTGCTGCCTGGAGGGCTCCCCCAACCCATCCCGGGCCCTTCCCTCATCTTCCTCTGGGACATTCCCTTGCTGCCTGTGATGGCTGGTCCACAGCCCACTCTCCTGACCAGGCCCTTTTCCGGGACCCTGCCTGCCAGCTCTCCTGATGACTGCTCAGACCACCTGTCCCACAGGCTGCAGCTCGGGAGGACCTGAGCTCTGGGTGTGGCAGCGCACGGAGAATGAAGCATCAGGGATGGGGTTTGGGGGCTGCTGGGGCCCCGTGGCAGGTAGGGTGGTTTGTGTTACCTTCAGGAAGGGGATGACAAATGGTCGCAGTGGGAAGTTGGTGGCCTCTTGGAGCTTGGAGTGAAACTCTTCAATGGTCAGTGTGGAGTTCTGAAGGAGGAAACCACCTTGTGTGAGCTGATGGGCACTGAGCATGGCCGCCCCACCAAACCCTGGGGAGGGAGTTGTGGGGGTGGCAGGTGGCCGGACGGCTGGGCACAGCGAGGGGGCACTGGGGCATCGGAGCGGGGCCCGTGACTCACCACCAGCCCCAGCACCAGCGTGTGCACGCGCTCTCCAATCTCGGGGGAGATGTCGCTGCCAAACTGCTGCAGGGTGGTAAGGAAGCGCTTCAGCTTGCTCAGCTGCCGCACCCCACAGGCCGGGGGCAGGTGCTGCGTGGACAGCGAGGCCGTGGACGAGGTGGCCGGCCCGTTGCTGAAGCCATTGGGTGTGGACGGGGTGCCGTGGGCGGCCGTGGGCGAGTGGCTGCTGCCGTTCATCACTGCGGGAGAGGAGGCAGAGGCGTGGCTGGGTGTGCAATGGTGTGTAGAGCCAACGACAACCATCCGGAGCCACCACGACGGCCAGAGCTCCGGCGGCAGCCGTGTGGCTGCCGAGTCCTGGAGGGGGCCAGGCCCCGTCAGTGGCAGGAGCTGGCACTCCAGAAGGACTGGCTACAGCCACCTGGGTATGGCCTCCCTGTGGACGGAGGTCAGGCCCAGGCCGGGGGACAGCCACCTGGGTATGGCCTCCCTGTGGACGGAGGTCAGGCCCAGGCCGGGATGCTGGGTCCCCACCGCCAGCACGTGCCCAGCCCCCAGGCCGGCTCAGGTAGGCGGTGCCTCCACGTCCTGGCTCACCGCCCCAGCCTCTCCATCTTACCCACTGGGCACCACCCGCTCCTCAGCTCACCGCCCCTACTGGGGCGGAAGGTCTATGGGAACGGGGTTGCACTGATCAGTCCCCAGGAAAGCCTGGCAACTCTACCTCTGCCCTGGCCCCAAGCAACACCCCCGTAGGAGCCTCCCCAGCCCACCGGGAGCCTCCTGGGCCACCAGCAGCTCCACTGCCCGCCTGGTGACCGGCCGGTGCCCGGGATGTTGCAGCCTGGGGTCGGGCGCGGGGTCTGGGACACCAAGGGTGAGGGGGTGGGCCCGCCTGGTGCTTCTGGACACGGCGGAAGCGTGCACACGAGCCCTGGGCTGGTGTGCTGGGGACAAGCAGGTGACCGACGCGACAGCTGAGAATGTGGCAGGCCAGCACTGTCCGTCACTGCAGTGTGACCGCCTGGCTGCCCGACACCAGGTCAGTGCCCCATGGCCCTAGCCAGGCCCGGAAGGGGGGTGAGTCCTCACCCCTCAGCCTGGGTTGATGGAGGCCAAGGTAGCCCCGTGCCTGCACCTGTGCTGCTGGCCGCACGAGCCTCAGCCATGGCCCCCAGGGTCTGCAGAGGCCAAAGGTTGCAGAGTGAGCACACACGGTCTGTGCTCTGCTCGCCCTCAGCTGGGGCTCCTGGGCATCCATGCCCTGCCTGCCCCTTAGGCCCACTCTGTTCCCGCCTCTGCGGCTCCCTGGTGCACGGCAGGACTGGGATTTGGAGTGGGGCCGCTCAGGCCACCTGCTCCCTCAGGGACACCTCCTCTGGGGCCACCTGTGGTAAGGGCCGTGCTTTTTGGGGGGGCGGGGTTTCCAGGATGAGACGGCTGGCCCAGCTGCTACTGCAGAACCCCAGTAGCGTCTGCTGTTCACTTTGCTCCTGGTGGACGGTGGAGGCCTCACTGTGTCCATCTGGACGGCACCTGCCCTGTCCACTCTGACCGAGGCCTGGGACAAGATGTCTGCTGGCCATTTCGGCCTGGTCAGCCTAGCAGAGGTGTGTGTGTGTGTGTGTGTGTGTGCGTGCGTGTGTGTGTGTGTGTGAGGTGGGGTTGCATCCCAGCCCCTTCTTCTGGGGCTGAGGCCCGGCCGTGGCTCCCCTTCTTCTGGGGCTGAGGCTCGGCCTTGGGTCCCCTTCTTCTGGGGCTGAGGCTCAGCCTTGGGTCCCCTTCTGGGGCTGAGGCTCGGCCGTGGGTCCCCTTCTTCTGGGACTGAGGCTCGGCCGTGGGTCCCCTTCTTCTGGGGCTGAGGCTCAGCCTTGGGTCCCCTTCTGGGGCTGAGGCTCGGCCGTGGGTCCCCTTCTTCTGGGGCTGAGGCTCGCCGTGGGTCCCCTTCTTCTGGGGCTGTGGCTCGGCCGTGGGCCCGGGTGCCCCTCCACCTGCCTGCACACCTGGGCGCCTGCCCTTCCTGTTCAGGCGACTCCCGCTCAGTCCCTATCCCTGGTCCTGCTCGCCCCGGGGGAGGGACTGGCTTTGGGTGCTGGGTGTGGTTTGGAGAGATGGTGCTGGAGCCCAGGGCACTGGTGCAGGGTCCTGGGCCTCCACACGGCCGGGCGGCATGTGAGCAGGGAAGCCCGTTACTCCCCCCCGCGACTGGCCCTGGGTGCTCCTTCGAGGCGGAGCCTACCGTGGCCCGGCCGCCACCCGCCGTCCAGTGGTGCTGTGTCCAGTGGCACATACCCCCACGGCTCACCGACAGCCCGCCTCCCAGAGGACCCCGCCGACACACAGGAACATGACCCCATCTAAACTGATGACGGCCTCTCGCGGTCACTCCAGCCAAACCGGGAGATGCCTGACCACCACGGAGACCTCACGGTAACTGAGGCTGAGCCTACTGCCAGTAGAGCTCCAAGCCTTCTAGCAGCTTCTAAGACATACCAGTGGCATGCGGCGTGAGCCCCCCTCCACCAGGCCTGGCCAGCCCGCGCCTGCCCTCCCCGAGGCCCGCTTACCAGCTCTGCCCTAGGCGCTAGGTCCCCCGCGGCCTGCTTGCCTCTCGGCTGCCGGGCAGTCTCAACAGCTTGCTAAAGAGATGCCTAAAATAGCCCCCAGCACAAGTGCCTGCACTCCACAACAGGTGTGTTACTAAGTTAGACTGCACACGTGTCCCCGGCTGAGGTCTGGGGCACACGCCTGCTCCCCCAGCCTGGCGGCCTCAGCCCGGGGTAGGAGAACCCCACTGGCAGCCCTTCAGCCAAACCTCCCTGCAAGTGGCTCTGGACAGCTCCCAGAGCTGGACCTCCACGGCTACCACAGCCGGCCACCGTCCAGCGGCGCGGCAGCGGCAGAGGCACCCCCCGCACCGCACCGCGGGCCTCCCGTGGCGCCTTCTCCACCCTCAGAGCCCCGGCGATACATGAGCTGCACCTGGGTTGTGCAGCCACCTGGCTCAGTCCGGAGACCACAACATGGTGGCGTTGGTTCAATGGAGCCTTGACCTGTGTTGCCCCAAGAGATGCCCACTGTGGGGCTGACACTGGTGCCTCTGCCCACTAGTGGCTGAGGTCTGAGGGACACGGTGCCACGCATCACAGCCACGCTCTACCAACCCATCTGGCCCTTCGTCCCTAGCGTTGATACAGTGACCATGTCCCTTGTAGGCAGGGAAACTGAGGCCCCAGCCGCTTTACCTGCCCGGTGCCACCCAGGCAGTGGCAGGACTGGGCCCTGCCCTTCGGCGGTCCCTCTGTCCCCCCAGCCCTGGGCTGGCTTCAGGCTGATGGATGGCTGCTAGGGATACTGTCCACTGGTGGCCCCGGGCCAGGGGCCGTCAGTGCTTAACCATCAGACCCTCCCGTTTCTGAGGCTGGGAACCCGGAATGGAGCCGAGGCCAAGGCCTCCCTGCGGTTTTTGTTATTTTACTCACAGAGACAGACCATGGACCACTTTAAGCAGCCATGAAAACGGCCGTGGGGCAGAGATGTCGCCGGCCCGTCCTCACCATCTGTAAGCAGAGCAAGAAGAACACGCTGTCAGGAGGGCGCCGTGCCGCCCGGGCCCCGGCCTCGGAGCGCAGCTCTGGGACTGGATGTGGATGGCACGGGGCCGTCCACTCCCGCACTGGCCTCAGTTTCCCTCTCTAAAATAGTGGGTTGGGCTGGACGGTTCCGGCAGGACCCTCCTGGGACTGGCACCACCGGGCTGCCTTGTTCTGAACAAGCCTCAGCCTCAAGGGCCTGGGGTCCACCCCGAGGACTCCCCTGAGAGAACGTGCTAGGCCTCGACTCCTCACACTTCTGGGCCTCTGCCTTCAGCCTCCTGACCTCGTCAGCCGAGGCTTCGGCTCCCAAGATGGATTTGCGGCCTGGGCAGCTATGGGGCAGGAAAGTCTTGGAGCTGAGGGTCAAGGTCAGCGTCGGCCTGGCTGGAGGCACTGGCAGGAATCTGCCGTCGGCAGCAGAGGCCTCGGCCAGGCCTGGCTGCCAGGCGCCGGGCACCGAGAACCAGCGGCTCTCAGGATCCCGGGGTCAGGGACAGCTCTGAGGACATCTTGGGGAAGGCGGAGAAGGGAGGCCCCCTCCACCCCGTGCAGCGGAAGCAGCGGGCAGGGGAGGGATGCCGCTGGCCCTGGGTTCCTGCGCGGACAGCGTGGCTGGAACCCACATGTAGATGTGGGCCCCAGTCCCAGGGAGCGGGAAGGGCTCAGACCGGAGCCGCAGCACCACCCCCGCCCCCCCGCGTCCATGACCCCCGGGGGCCCTGCGGGCCCCAAGGCAGCCCACCAGGAGCATCCATTTTCCAGCTGGTGCTTCCAGGACATGGACGCTGGTCCTGAGGGAGCAGCAGGCTGACCAGTCCCGCAGCCGCCCTGACTGCTCTGTCCACGTGGGCCTTTGACATTCGGGCTCAGAGGTTTTAGGTGGTGCCCTGCAACACCCTGCCTGCCCTCCGCTGGCCTGTGTACACAGTGACCGCCTCCCCAGCGCCGGCTGATCTGCCACTCACATCAGCACCGCCGGTACACCGCCCTCCCCTGCGTCCACCAGAGGAGCAGGTCAGCAGCTGGCCGCCGCTTGTCCGGGGGGGGGACTGCCGCAGAAGAGGGGAGGGTGGCCCTGGCCAGCCATGCTACTGATGAGGACGAAGCCTGAGAAAAGGCACCGTCACTGCACGCCTGGAGGGACGCGGCCCAGTTCCTGGCAGCCCAGGACCCCCGTGGGACACCTCTGCCCACAGGCCACAAGCCTCTGAGGACAGAGTCGTGCTGCCTGAGGTGTGTCCCTGCACACACTCGGGTGCCCCAGCGATCCTGCCACAGTCCGCATGCCCTGGTGTCTCTTCCACGCACCCGTGTGCCCCGGCGGCCCCTCCACACGCCAAGTGTGCCCCAGAACACCACACACCCGGTGTGCCCCGGAACACCACACACCCAGTGTGCCCCGGCGGCCCCTCCACACACCCGGTGTGCCCCGGAACACCACACACCCAGTGTGCCCCGGCGGCCCCTCCACACACCCGGTGTGCCCCGGCAGCCCTTCCACACACCCGGTGTGCCCCTGAATGCCACACACCCAGTGTGCCCCGGCAGCCCCTCCACACACCCAGTGTGCCCCGGCAGCCCTTCCACACACCCGGTGTGCCCCGGAACACCACACACCCAGTGTGCCCCGGCAGCCCCTCCACACACCCGGTGTGCCCCGGAACACCACACACCCGGTGTGCCCCGGCAGCCCTTCCACACACCC